GACGGGCAAAAGGCACAGAGCGGACGTTTTGCAGCAAATGCGGGGGGGCTGGAGTGATCGAAGGTACAGGGTGATCAAGAAGCCCTGGCAACCCTTTATGACAGTGAATCTTGGAGGCTATCAAAGAAGTCTCAATGTCAAGATTCTCAGGGTTCAGGTCTCCCACCCTCCAGAAGGTAGTGCTCCTCTCCCCGTTTTGCTGATCGCCCTCCGGCAGTACCAACGGCCTCGACCAGGACTTCCTCACCTTGCGGGGAGACGAAATCCTGCGCAGGACTGGTGGATTGCGGGCCAATTGACAGCCCTGAACGCACCAGTCCAGTGACCATATATCTTTCGCTTTGGCGAGACCACTTTGCTCAACATCTTCAGTATCTTGGTGAAGGTTTCTTGCACGAGATACCCGGATCGCATGCCATGTTGGGTGGTTGGTTTTAACTCACATACGTGCCTTGTCCAATGTTGTTGGGGCACGGATTATTTGGAAACGATGAACACCTTTGTCTGAAGATATTGGTTTCCATTGGGGTGCCTTTGTAGCATCTTTCCCTTTCATAATGCCGCAACTCACCCAACAGTTCTGTCGAAATGTGGATCTGTTCATTTTGCAGTCCGGTACCAGGTGCTTTGCGATTCTCTTTGGGATGGTCGATGGGATTTGACTTGCTCTCTCTTTCACCGAGCGGTTGCTCGAGTGGATCCGCCTCCATGTGATGGAGGGTTTGTTTTTGGGAGGATCAGTGGACCAGTGACCTTGGTCTTCTTGGGCTTCATCGGAAAGTGGCATGCGGAGCTCAGACTCAGCAACAAGGACCCAGCGCTTGTTTGGCTGCAGCAGTGATCCGGGAAACCTCCCGTTTGGACGTTTGGACCAGCACGTGGGTCTACTCTTTGTTTGAGAAGGCGGGTAGTTGAGCTATGTAAAAATAGTGTTGTCAAGAAGATGAGTTGCAGTATGGTATGGAGGAAACTCTAGTTGGAGGTGAAGGATCACAGATTGAGTGCAGCCTTCATACGGGTTCCCCTTGCTTTACCTTGCCCTCCTCGAAATTTGACAGGACAGCTCCTTCTGTGGCTTAGACTCTAAGGCGGGGGTCGATCTCCAGGTCGTCCTGGGTCCCGTGGGTCGTCCTGTGGGTCCGTTCGAACAAGGAACTTGGACCGCCATACGGAGCGAAAGAAGAAGAGACTCCCATACGGCGGTCCTCGTTGTTCGGGTGGTTCTTGGAAGGACGAGGCATCTTCAGGGGCCGAGGCATTTTTCATCACAAGACATGACAGGTAGAATTGGTCTATCTTTTTTCTCTTCTATGTGCCAACGGGCTCCTGGCCGGGACTTTCGATTTTTTGGCCTTCTTGCATCAATGACGAATCATGTTACTTGACCCGCGAAGTGGGGTCCCATGGGGATTTCTAATGGTCCTGAGCACCGACCACATGAGAAACCTTGAAAAACCGTGGTTGGCCAAAGACCAGCTTCACCAGGACGGGGGTGCCGAGTCCAAACATGCGTGGGGTGTGTCATTTCCGAGCAAATGACAGGTCTGTGAGCTGAAGTTGAGGCTTTTGGAATGTTCCTTTGTGAAGTCCGTTTTGTCCGGACTTTTGGAGGTCTAGGGGGGCGTTTGAACATATGACCCGAAAACCACCAGGGTCGACCGATCCTTTCGAGCCTTCGATCGTCAGGTCCCCGTGGCCATGGGCCGACCCGACGCGCCGATGCAGGTCGGACCGGGGCGACGACGTCGACGTCGGACGGTCGTTCGGGTCGGCCCCGGTCAGAAGCTTCGGTTCAACAAATGGTTTGAACCAATAGGTTTGCAAGTGCAAACTGGACATGGGAAACCATTCTTTGCCTATTCAAGTCATTTTAGACTTCTTGGGAACTATATATATTGTATAATATTGTATATATATATATATACATTATTAATAACCAAAAATACAGCTACACCAACAAGAACACCGATGGCAAACAGATCCCCTTGGTATCCACTTCAAACCGAACGCGACCGTCCCTGTCATTGTTTCGTTTTGGACACTTTGGGCGATATTCTTGCACCATGTACTCCTTTGTTAAACCGTTTGGGACCCGCGACCGTTGCGGCCGTGTGGCCGTGCTGGGTAGGTCATCGAAGAGGTGGTCTTCCAGCCGCACCGTGCGCCGCTGCTCCTGGCGGTGCAGGTGCCCTGTCACGCGCTGGGGACCTCAGTGGGGCAGGGAGCGCGGAGATCCCCGGGGAGGACGTGTCCGGTGGTTCCGTGCAGGTTTGCCGAGACCATGGGTGGAAAAGAAAGAGGCAGAATCCATGGAACTCAACCTGCACATAGGCTCTGGGTGCGGGCTGGTTTTCGGAGGCGAAAGAGGCATGTTTGGGAGGGTCAATTGCCGAACTCACTTGGACGAGGAGGCCTAAAACTCCTTTGTTTGCACTGGGGCAACCAGTAATTCTGCAAAAGCCACAGATATGCCACCATGCGGAGAGTTGAGGCTTTCCACTACTTCCCTTGAGGTCCAAACACATTGGTCGGCATTTTCGTCTTTTTAAGCTTAGAAGGGCTCGACCATATGCAAGGCCCATGATGGATGCGCACCCGGGAGACATGGGCGATGTAGCAGATGTGGACGACTTCCAGGCGAGAAGCAAACGCAGCGTTGGGTTCCATGCGTTGGGTTCCACGCTGCCCGAGGTAGCCACTTGTGAGTAGGAAAAGCAGGACTCTTTCTTCGTGCTCCTTGTGGGAGAAGCACTGCAACTGACTTGAAAGAAAAGGAACAAGACCCGGAATAGAACAGGATGGAGACTTGTCTTTCCTTTCAGGGCTCAGGTGGTGGTGCACCACTTGAGTTACCACACTCACATGGGCAGAAAAGGGACCTTCTGAGTCGCGTTTTCCTTAGTCGCCAAGTGCTTCTGCCAGAAGTCAGGATGGCACCTCAGAGTTCTCCCAGAGTGAGCTTGCATCCATGGTGCTGGAGCGGGCAGGGATTCGCGGCTGGGACTGGGATTTCAGCGGTTCTTCTGGAGAGGAAGAGAATCCAGACACCCGCTTGGACGGCGAGAGGGGCCGTTGGAGAGGGTCCAAGTATCTAGCCAGCTGTTGGAGAGGGGCCTCAAAGCATCGTGAAAGGTGAAGAGGCCCAAAAGAGAGATGGAATCGAGTTAGGAACAGCCTGTGGTCTTGTTCTTCTTTTTGTTTGATTCCACCTGTCAGATGTGTCACAAAGAGTTATACTATGTTTCACTTCACTATATAGTTAAATGCATCAAGTTGGTAGAAGGATGGCACGGAAAATACAGTAGTCAACTAGTATGCAGGTTCGCTGGTCCTCCATTTGACTGGCTAGTTTTGATATTCTTTCCTATCCTTTGTCGACGATTTTAGCATCAATGAACTGGAATGCTTCTAAAACCAAGAGCTTAGAATTTGATTTTCAGAACGCATGATTCGGTACCCGACTTTGTTTTCTTGGGGACTGCCAAGGGCAGCAAACGAATCCACGTTCTTTAAGATGCACCTGAAATCCTCGAAGCATTATCACGTACAAGTGCTGGGACCCTTTTCTCTTGGTTGTTGGTGACCCAAAGTCCTCCCCAGACTCAGCTCCTGCGTCGGGGCTCTTGGGGATGAACCCCTGGTGCCAGGACATTGCTTCCTCTGGAAGCTGTCGAGACCTCAGTGAGCGTACATCGGTGTGCTACAGAGCATGGCAGAAGCTCCCACCAGGCTTCTTTTGTTCTTTTTTGTATGCTACCATCGCCATTTTAGGTCGGAGGCCATCGCCAGTAAGGTTGGAGGCCATCGCTCGTAGGTTTTCCCGTATGAGAATTCTTTTCTGTGGGGTTCTTGCTTTGTTTTCGGATCATCCAGGCTCTCAACCTCGGGTTTCACGGGAACTTCCAACATGTGTTGCGTGTCGTGCCGCGGCATGTCGCGGCACTCGCTCATAACAACTTGCACACAGCAACTTGCACACACCAACTTAGACGCACTTGCACACCCCAACTCACTCACACCAACTTACACACACTTATGGATATGCATACGGAACTGATAGCGGTGCCACACGCCGGCCTAGGGTTCCAGTTCCTAAGAATACCAGTAAGAACCATCGGAGCCTGGAGGTCTTCAAGAGGAAAGAGGGCCCAAAGCGGAAGTATCGAATCGACGGAGGCGGAGCGACAAGATGACGGCGGTCCGTGCACATCTGCAGAACTCACTAGCGCTTGACGATACTTCTCAGCAAAAGTTAAAATTCAAGCAGGTACAAGTGTTTGATCAGACCACTCATCCACCGAAATGCCATAGCTTCGTTGGACTGGATAGGCAAATCGGCTCCAGTCCCCCTGCTGACTAAAACAATTCAAAAGAATCCCTGTGACTACAAGGGTTACACACACACACACACACGCCTCCCCGAGGGGAGGCAAAATTAAGGCTAGGACGAATGTGCAAATGTCCGCGCAGCAAGGACAAAAGGATGAAGACATGAGAAGGAAGACGACGGGACAAAAGTGTGTGTGGTTGCGATGAAAGAGAAACCAAATGCACAGGGACAACCGATGAAACCTCATTGTCGAAACCTGGGCGACCTGAAACCTGAGTTGGAAGTAGATGTGCGCGTACACACTAAGGCCCGGACCGTTGTATGCGCAAAAGAACGAAAGGAGTGAGATGAAAGGACATGAAGCAAGGGAAGACATGAAAAGAAAGAGGAAAAGAAGTGTGTGAAGGGGAAAGGATGAAAAGGGAACCAAATGGGGGGGACGGGAAAAGATGAGCCCAGACCTCATTGCAACAACCTAGGAAGACCTGCCTCGTTAAGGTGTGTACGATGTGTGTGCACCTAAGAGTCCGACAGGTTCCAATGAACCTCAAAAGTGCTTCGGTCGCTCTGACCACGTTGAGGCGTTAAGCCAGCTTGGACCGCTGCGGTCACGTAAAGGCATGAGCCAACTTGGAATTCCAAAAATGAGACAAACATCCCACTTCTTGAGGCATTAGCCAGCTTCGCCCGCTGTGGGCACTTACGTTTCCAAAGCAAGGGAAACAGCGACAAACCCCCGTTCCACGGGTCCACGGGAGGCACTCTGCGGGCTCATCCCGGGTTGGCACGAGGCCAAACACACTTATGGATATGCATACGGAACTGATAGCGGTGCCACACGCCGGCCTGGGGTTCCAGTTCCTAAAAAATACCAGTAAGAACCATCGGAGCCTGGAGGTCTTCAAGAGCAAAGAGGGCCCAAAGCGGAAGTATCGAATCGACGGAGGCGGAGCGACAAGATGACGGCGGTCCGTGCACATCTGCAGAACTCACTAGCGCTTGACGATACTTCTCAGCAAAAGTTAAAATTCAAGCAGGTGCAAGTGGTTGATCAGACCACTCATCCACCGAAATGCCATAGCTTCGTTGGACTGGATAGGCAAATCGGCTCCAGTCCCCCTGCTGACTAAAACAATTCAAAAGAATCCCTGTGACTACAAGGGTTACACACACACCATCCTCTCTCTTCGTTCTATCCACAAACTTTCTTCGCTTTGTGAAGACTAATCATGTGGGCTTATCCAGTTCTTTAACTTTTCAAACGGTTGATGCAGAAGAAGGAGAACGGTTGATGCAGATTCTCACAGACCGACCGACTTCAAGGATGCAGGAGTTGTGAGGGACTTGCTGATCCAAATACACCTGTGATTTTCCAAATGCTTGTGGCCAGACATCCTTCCTATACTATGGCTTTCGAGGCCAATTCCAGGAACACTGTGGATGGACACAACATCTTCGCCATCTAACCAGAAGCCACGATCGGGCTGACCACTGGGATAGCCCCTGACTCGACTGACGGGGCTGACCACTGAGGTGCTGCACAACGCCCGGGCACGGCTGGTACAGCGTCACATGCCGGAGTCTCGTGGGACGATGTGGTGGGCCAGTAGGGTGGTCCGGGCGTGGTGCGGGTGTTCCGTCGATGTTTGACTGGAAGGTCTGGCTAGCGAGCAGCGAGCGGAGACCAGAAGGTGCAAATCAAGAGAGTGAGTTGCGGTACCAGGAACAAAACTAGGTTTTGTTCATCGACTGGTGTTGTTGGTGGTAGCCCAGATGTATACTGAAAACGATAATGCATGTAAAACCTCTTCGTATGGGGGGATGTATCAAACATCTACATTGTACAATATGTCTGAACACTGGCCGTTGCCACTAACAGAACAGTGACCGATGTTTCCACCACCTTAAGCACAGGTCGGTTGCGCATTACCTTGCCGGCCTTTTTGGTTGTTGTTTGAGATGCTAAGAGGTGTCACAGTTATTTGGACATGCAGTTTGCTAGACAACCAAGGCTGGGGACAGTACCTCGGACGAGGGCATTGCAGGCTTGGCAACGCCCCGCGCTGCCCAGGCGGGGAAACAGTTGTGCCACATAGTGGAACAATGTGATTGGTATAGTCCAAACATAGACCAGGCAGACCTGATCAATTCCTGGCCAAATCATTTTTGTCAATCCATCCCAAATGATGCACCTAACCCTGGCACATACAAAGGTGCAAGAGGTCTGGTTTGTTCAGAGCTCCTTCAACTCTTTTGCTCCAGAAAACCGCAAGAAAAAAAGCGAAGATCTTTGAGATATCTGGCACTTGTGCAATCAAACAACCCTAAAGGGGCCGATCTAGAACCCCGCAACGGTAGATCCATCGAAAGCCCATGGTAGCGTCCAATTTCGTCATACTTGGAGCAACGCCAACTCAACTCCAGCCCCTCAGCGCCGATATTTCACTTTTAATTCTTTTTACTGTGTTGGCAAAAAGATGCATCTTTCTCAGACGCATCAGGCACTGAGTGCGACTCCCCTTGTCAGGCACTGGCTGGTGTGTACGAGCTCCAAGGGAACGAGGCAGGAACGGTTCTCTGTCGGTGAGCTACCCAGGAACTGCTCATAGCTATACTCGTGAGGGAAGGGCCGAAGCGACCGTGAGGGAAGGGCTTAGGGGTTTGTTTGGTAGATTTTCTTGGTGCTTCTAGATGTGAATATCTATGGCCTATGGGTCTTTGCTCTAAAGAGCATCCTACAAACATATGCTCTCAGACCAGGCACTCCTGCAGTTTCAATACACTAAAGACATTCCGTATCTACCAGGTTTTCCAGCAAAAAAAACAGTTCCTGTAAGAACATCCTTGGACACAGTCATCTTGGTTGGGCCACATCGCTCCCATTTGGACCGTCTCGACTCTCCTCCTTCCTCGGCCGTCTTCCTCCAGGCCAAGCGCTTGGTCGAACGCGTCCGAGAGGAGGCAGCCTCCAAGTCCGAATGCCCAGGTGGCGGCCTCCTCCGAGGAAGGGTCGATGGGATAGATTTGGGTCAACCAGAAAAAAGGCGTGGTGGGGGGTTGGAAGTTCATCCTGATGATTTGGACCTGATGAGGAGTGTTTCTGTGTTTTGGGGTGGGAGGAGCTACTAGCCAGCTAGGGAGCTTGGGAGCTAGCAGCCACGATCCGGTCGAAACAGGGTGTGTTGGATGTCCTTTGATGGTCCAAAAACCTTCAAAAGGCCATACTGTTCGGCTCTCTTTTTGCCTCATGTTTTGCTCTCGTTGTTTTGGCTCATTTACGGATCGAGGAATCTTTTCCTTTCGCATCATTTACTGGTCCATCCACGGGCCCCTGGTGTCAGTCATGCAGGCTTCTCTTGAGGAAGACAAACGCAAACAAATGTAAAATTTTACCCATGAAAATCTGGTTGAATGTCAACGGTTCCCACTCACACTCCCAAAACAGCATGCACTCCAATGAAGCTCGAGGGCTGCCCTGGAAGTCTCCCTGAGATCGCCTGGAGTCTCCGACATCTCGAGGTCCGTCTTCAGTGCCTCAGAGCCCCGTCAGGCATGTCATTCACGCTTCCGACTGGTCTGTTGGAAGCAAGAAGCTACTAGGAATGGTCTTTGAAGCTGCTAGTAACAATAGAGATACTATATAGTATGTCTTTGAAGCTACTAGTAGCTAGAAGTTTCCCTGGGAATCGTTTCACTGGGAATCGTTTCACCTGTAGTAACAAGAACGCTACGAACGGGGCTCCTGGCATCGCTACCAGGAGCAAGGACGCTACTAGGGAAAAACCGTCTGAAGGTTATGGCCAAGGAATCAAGGCAATGGTTTGAAGGAAGATGCTAGCTCCTGGAGGTTAAACCTTCTCTCAACCTATTGAGAGATCTATTGTGGAGCGAACATTGCACACTTGTTAGATGCACAAGGGTAAGGGATTCTGCAGCCAGCAATGGAGAGAAGCTTATCCCTGTCGAGGGCAGCAGATGACGGCCCTCACGGTGTTTGGTGAATTCCCTTTGCAGTATATAGCCATGAAATACATAGAAACCACTTGCAGGGGGTTTCTCAGTCTCAAGGGGCATAGGTGTTACCAAAAAAGCTTTCCTTCGCTTTTGTTACTGTTAGTGACCTAGAACCCATTTGACCTCTGTTTTTGATAGGATAAGACCATGTTTTGGGTCCAAAACAGGGGTCCACCGGCTTTTAGGGATACCGTTCTCTCCACTTGGGGGGGCGGTTCGTGATCCGCATTTCGGTCGCCGACTCCATCGGCTCCGCCGCCAGGGCCTCCGAAGCTCCAAGCCGGGCTCCATCGACGGAGGGAGTTGGCAGAGGACGGAGTTGGGAGTTGAGGGTGAACAGGTTGTTTTTGTCAGGTTCGTGTTGAAATAGTGAACTGTGTGCCACACTCAGAATTGGAACCACAAGATTCTTGCCATCAGTTTCTCTGCTGCTAACACTGAAATTCCGACTAGGACCCAGGGTTCAAAACCGGCCTTAGTCGCAGACATCATTGAAACCTCAGTTGTGTGGATGTGGCCGAAACTTGGCTCCAGCCGCAACGGCCGTCGACTGAAAAGGGCAGTAGAAGCCGTAGAACCTGTGGTGATCCTCTCACGACATGGTTCACCTTCCTGGACTTGGTGGCCAGGCTTGATGAGGCAAAACGTCCGAAGGCGCTTGAGGCGAAGAGTCGGAGAAATCATGGGGCCCACCCGCAGGTGTCGAAGGGGCCCACCTGTGCAGACGAGCTCTTATTCAAGAGATGATTTTTGCAGGAAAACAGGCTGACCTCAAGGCCGTTGACCATATCCCAAAAGGCCGTTTCTTTGCAAAGAAGGGGTTGTCTCGCAGTGCCATGTGGTTCTAGCAGCCTAGCACGACCGACCGCCCTCCACCCTGGTGGAAGAAAGCATCCGCATCTTGCTAGCTGCTAGCGGCACGGTCTTCCGATGATCATACCATCCCCACTTCAGAGGTTACTTGCTGTGGCTCTCTTCCAAAGACCAGTAACACAGGGTCCAAGGACCCTTCCCGGCGTGTGTCCTCCACAGTTCTGCAAAAGCTTAAGACGTCCTTTGCTTCGTTCGTGGACGAACCCGCTCTGTGCTCCAGCGAGCTGATGGACCAGCCCCCGGCCCCGCCGAACGTGCTCGGCCCCAGGGCCGCCCTCGAACTGGTAAGCCTGGCATGTGTGGCGCAGAAGATCTGCCAGCACCCAAGATCCGATGAGTCGACCGAGTTGTGAAAACGGTAAACATAAAGCCTTGAAGAGCCAAACCTCTCTCATCGGTTCTCATGGGTTCCGCATCGGTTCTCGAGTCGATCGAGTCCATTCACCCGATGCCGCGCACAGATGCCACCCCGGTTCGTCCGATCGAGGTTTGGCTCGCGCTGTGAGCGCGGTGTCCAGCTCTGAAAAGCCGCATGTATGCGCCGGCCGCTGCTCATAGAATCCCCAAAGAGACGTCCAGAGATTGTGGAGATTGGTGGTTGAACCGCTTAGATGCAGAAGAGATAGTCAGGAGGGTCTGTGTCTACCACCCTTTTCTTGGTGGATGAAAATGGTGTTTGCAATCCGATGTTTTGGTGAGTAAATGGACAATGGACATGATCCCCTGAGCAGGCTCAGAGCGGACAGCCCTGAACTAGCCCGACCTTCGGGGAAGCCGCAAGTGTGTACAAAGACAGGAAAAGTTAATCTGACTTTTCCATGACCAAAGTGACCAAGCCCCGCCCACGTTGTGAGTCCTGGGCTTCCAGAAGTTCATGGGCTATCGTGTCCCAGGATTTCCAGGGCGATCACCTCTGGCCCGTGGACTCGCAAATTCATTGGCGGAGCTCCCTGTTTTCGGACACCAAAAGAGCGTGCGAGCCTAGTGCACCCGCTGTTTTTCGGAATGTGGAGATGTATGGTGGAGATCTTGGAGAGAAGGAAGCTGTGTTGGACTTGTTGTCCTTGACTTCTTGACCTGCCAATTTCAAGGCATGGTGAGTTTCCTAGTGGCTTTGGGTGAGTTGCTAGCATTGGCGGCCGCTCCAAAAAAACAGGTTTCCACGCTTTCTCGCTTGGCCGATCGCCCAGCTGCCCAAGTCTTTCCAGGGTAGATGTCACACATGACACCTAGGAATTGCACGTGAACTTGTGCATCACTCCACCGCTTTATATAATCCAAATTTTCAGGACCGTCGGCTTTGTTTCTTTCCAGGGTCGGGCTGAACTTCATACTATTATGGCCTTTGATACCCCTAAGGTGGACGAGGCTTTTGTGCTTAGCCCATGTTAGCCCCTTTTGATATCTGATATTTGGCATGTTCTCCGTCCTTTTCATTTGTTTTCACCCTTCAAACAAGCCACCCTCCGAATCACCACCCCTTTCGTCTTCGGTGCTCGGTCCCGAAGCGCGTCTTCCGTCCCCGGTTGGCCACGTCGCATGGCTGGCACGTTGCAATGCCGGTGCCCATCCCTGTGGACGTCTCACCGGTGTCGGACGGCAGCGCTGAGAAGGCGGCCGCGTTTCGCGCGCGAATTGCTCTCCACGCGTGTTCTGCAGGGGTTTCTGGGGGGTAGGGTTCTTAGCAACTAACGCCTCATGGTCATGGCCTTGATCACCTCTTCAAAAACCACGTAGAGAAAACGGTGTCAAGGTTCAAGCTTTCCATGTCTCTAGTTTCAGGGGTGAGTTGCTTGAAAGGGTCTATTTGTCCCTTGACCATGAATTCTATCCATAGTCTATACGACATGTTGTGATTGCCACCTCCAAATGCCCCAAAGCGCCTATGACGCAAAGCAGAGGAGTTTAATGGAGTTTAATGGCTTTTCACAGCCTCAGAGCCGAGAAGATTGCTGGCGATTTCAGCCGTCAAGTTTGGTAGTAGCATCCTCATCCCAACACTGGAAGAACGCATGCCACAACACGTATCAGAACAAATGTGGGAACGCTTGTCAGACATAATGTCAGAACACATGCCAGATTAGGTGACAGAACACATGTCAGAGCATGTCGGAACACATGTTGGACCATACGTCAGAACACACGTCGAAACAAGTGGCTGTTTCGATGGCAAAATTCAGAGCTAGCGTGAGAATACATGACAGAACAAATCTCAGAACACATATCGTAACAGAAGTCGGGCCATCTGTCAGAACACAATTCAGAGCACTTGCCAGATTTGACGTGGCAGCCGTGCAGCACATGTTAGAAGTACATGCCAGGCATGCAAGAAGGTGTGTCAGAACACGTGTCAGACTTGATGGCAGGTGGTATTTCAGAACAGTGGCCACGCTAGATCAAAATACATACTTGATGCCAGAACAAATGTCAGAGCATTGTGTCAGCGCCCGTGTCACGGCCTTTGTCGGAATAGTCTGTCAATATATGTGCCATGCCTTCTTTCAAATTGCCCTTCAGGGTGGGGATCGCTCGAAGTACAGTGACTCGTGAATTTTGATTCACAGCTCCCCAAATCTTTTCGGGATCATCTCCATCGCTATTAGGTTGGAGGCCATCTCTTCTAATGACAAGAAGCTACTAGGTTGAGGCCATCGCTATTAGGTTCGCCGAAGCCGAAGCGGCTGCTGGTCCCAGGACTGGGAGACTGCGGCGTCAGGTGGCATGTTGAAGGCGAGAGCGAGACGGGCAGGGTAGAAGACCCCAAAAACAAACTCAGGACGAAGCCCCGTGCTTGGTTCGACAGCTCCTTCCAGAGGTACCTTGACCTCAGCCCACGAGTACTAACAGCTAACACCTGTATCCCACATCATCCCACCATGAATGAAGATCTCCAGCAACAACTGACAATTTCTCACTGTTGTTCCCCCCCACCGTACATCCTAACTCTGCTTTTTGAACGATCTCTTTTTCGGATGATTTTCTGCCAGCAACGAGACCCGGCGTTGAACCACCTGCAGTTGTCTCCTCCAGGTGAGCCAATGGCGGCAGACGATCCTCTCCTTCCGCTCGGTCGACCGGCGGAACGCCTTCCTGGCCGCGGCCCACGTGGTCCAGAGCCTCGTCCCTCAGCTGCGTCTATGGTGAAAGGCTGCTTTTGTTGGTGGGTTGAAGACAGCGTGGTGGTGTTGGGTGGGGCAAGCGGCGGTGTAGACCCTGAGAAATACTGTATGTCTCCAACTAGATAGAAATGGATTCCAAGTATTCCAAGATTGTTTGTAGAAGGGGTGTAAGGGGTGGCAGGTCAGCCAAGTCGTGGCACACCAAGCGATATAAGGGATGGTCTGATGTTCACGGAACCGGTGAGGTTTTCTTTGGGGAAACAACAGATTTTGATCATGATGATATGGTGGTGAACCTCTGGAATTTGATTGATCAAACATCGTCTTGGGATTTGTATTTTCACTCGTTCTAGTCGATATGGAGTGTCCAGATAGGAGCGACAGTTGAGTGTGCTCAGAACAAAGGCCTTCGGGCAGTTGTTTTCCACCCAAAACAAATTGGAGTTGGCAGAGTTGCCTGGCTCACAAGAACGTCAATAGTAATAGGTAATCCATAGGTCAATTATATAGTTGTTAGTCTTCCAGTAAGAAAAGTTTCCAAACTATTGACTGGCAGTATTAGTCATCTCCCCAAGCTCTCACTAACAGCAGCCCCTCTTGCTGTCAGACCTGACAGTCGTCCGGTCCAGGCGATGGGTGAGGAGGACAATCACTTGCTTTCTTGAAGATGAAGAGTTGAACACAGGTCGAAGCCGGTGCAAGCCAGCTGTTCCGTTAAGGTGTGTGTGGGTGTGTGTTTGTGCTTGAAGACATTCACTTTATGTTGTTTGGTTACTTTCTGCTTCGGAGACTCCTTGTAAGAGTAGAGCAGTTCCCTCCTAAAGTCGCTCGTTCAGGTTCTTGGACCGACTGAACGTCCAGAAAGCATATCAATCAACTGGACCTGATAGGTAGGTTGGCCACGTGCATCGTAGGTTGGCTTGGTAGAAGCCCGCCCCACCGATTGGCCATCCGTGCTCCACCTGCTCGGAGCTTGGTCCCCAAACCCGCCAGGAGACTGGCGCCAAGCCCTCGCCGGGGGCCACATTGACACGACTTGCAATTGTTCAGGAGCAAGAGAACTATGTCATGCTGACTAAACCATATATCATATATGTAATATGTATATGAATGCTTCGAGGTGGCTGAGCAATTCGGTGGTGGCCTTAGAGCTGAGCAGTTCGGTCGGAGGTGTCAGATCCTAGAGCGAATTGAAGCAGGTGCTTTTCTTCCAAAACGTGGGACTGACGAGGTTTTTGTTGCCGCAACTCAGTATGCAGGGAACCTGCAACAAGTTGTTTCTATTTCGAGCAGTAACCGGATTGGTCGCTAAATCCGCTCCTCCTCGTGTGTTAGGCAGGTGCTCAAAAAGGCATGAGCATGGTTGCCCAGCACACAGGAGCGCTTCCGACAGCACCCTTTGCCGAGCGTTGGAATGCGTCTGGTGTCCGTTTGACTCACCCAACCTTTTGGGGCTCCGAAGACCCTTTTTCTATGCACGATCTCACATGGACAACAGGGAACTCACAGAAGGTGTTTCATCTCTTTGGTGCTGGAGCCACTTGCAGACGTGGGAGAACTGGGTAAGCTTGGATACAACGACCCGAAGTTCTGTGAGACACGTTGTACCGCAAACGTTCATGGCTCGGCCAGTCCAGAGTGACACCCGCCTGCACGGCACTGTCCAAGCGAGAGGCGACGTGCTCCATGAGACTTGCCATTGTGGCCCTGAAGCCTCGATGTCGGACGAAGAGGACGGCTGTGGTTTTCTACTTTGGTGACATTGGAGATGAGTGGTTTGATGTGTATAGACCCCCAAATAGATAGAAAAGCAACATCTTGTTCAATATGTATTGGACACCGTTTCTATCTATTTGGGGACCTCTATTTATATATATACACATACACATGAGCATCCGACAAACCGTTCCGTACATGTACTTTAGTCATGAGCCGCCCTACATAAACTTTCGGCATTGGGGACACGAAGAAGTTTTGTCCGCCACTCATATATGTGTATTTATATATATATATATTATAGAAACGCATACACAGTATCATACACATTTTTTTATTTGGGGTCTTTCGTTTGGACACAGATGCAAGCATTGTGAGGAAGAGGATTGGGAGCTTCATCGTAAGAAGACAGGCGCGTGGTATCTGCAACTGAGCTTCAGGAAACGGATGCTGACCATGCAAAGTATGGTTGAAAGATGGCACGAGTGGGGATGCGGGTGTATCTTGAAATTGCCTTTCCAAGTACATCCCACCAGTGACTCTTCATTGGGTTTGCAGCCGGCCTTCAAGCACCCTGGTCAAATTAAGATCGCCAAGGGCCGCCAAGGTGGGTCCAACTACTCGTCAGGGAGCTTAGATGATTCTTGCTACTACTACAGTAGATGGACCAAATATTCAAACCCCTGTATCAATAACTGTCGTCAACCCCTGACCCCCAAAGGTCAATGTTGAACATGACTT